AGCCTCGGGGTCCGGCCACGCCCCCGGGGCGGGACACTTGGCGGGGTTGACTTGGCTTGGTGCTCGGTAAACCTCTGAGCCTGGGAAGTAGGTGCACTGGGAACCCTTGCGTTGGGAAGGGCAGAAAAGCCCTCAGTTATGACCCGAGGGTGGCAATTTGTGGACCAGGTGAGTACTCAGCTCTAGGCGAAGGGCCTGGATTTGTAGGATGTGGGGAACGCGTCTTAGAGTTGGGAGGGTTTTTGAAAGCCTGCGACCCCTGTGGGGGTGCTACCGTTTGGTGGAGCTAGGGTAAGAATACTTTGAAGCTACTAGTGAAACCGAGTTGGCTTGAAGGTGAGCTTACTAGGCACTAGGGAGGTAGGTTAGATTTTTGGAGTGTCTCAAAACCGAGTCCAACTCCATCTCTTCCTCCCATCTTACTGTCCCCGCTGCATCTCTGCCTGGCAGCAATCCAAGTCCTGGGCACTGTCAAATGGTTCAACGTCCGGAATGGTTATGGATTCATCAACAGGTATCTCAGGAACCCAGGTGGGGTGGAACGGGTGTCTTCCAAACTGGCCTGTGGGATTGGACACCTTCCCAACCTCATCTCTAACCTTGTGGAGGCACATGGTTGTGATGTCCAGCTGACACTGGTTGAAAGTCTTTAACTACAACACAGTGTGGGCTTAGTGGCAGGATGAAGGCTCCTTCACATCTTCAAGGGCAGCAGGGGATTAATGACCTGCTAGCACACCTGGCTATGGCCTCCCAGCTTCTCTGTCTCACCTTCTGGAATTGTCCCATTATTTATGTTTTGCCATGCCTTTGGGGAGGAACGGATAGGGTTCTCTGTGCCTTAGGGCTCCTGGCTGGAATCCTCACTGATTTCCTGTTATAGACAGCACTCAGCACCCTCCTAACTCATTTCCCTTAAAGAGCTGTGGCTCATTTGAAACCCCCCCACACACCTGTTGTGACTGAGGCAGGCAGCAGAGGGGGTGAGGGGAGAAAGGAGCCAGCCCAGCCAGAGGCTGCTGCTTTCCTTTGCTTGGCAGTCCCACCCCTCCCAGCACTGGGAGGGGCCGTGGTAGTGGATTCTTAGCAGAGCCAGGTCTACCCCAGTGGGCCTTTCCCCAGCCTGGGCACCCTGCCCAACCCAGCCCTCCTGGGAGGCCCTAGTTCCCTCTTAGCAGGCTGACCTTTGTGCAGATTCAAGTGCTTTAAAGTTAGAACATTTGTTCTGGGTGAGGGTCCCTATCTAATTTCGAAAACAGCAGATTCCTTGGTGAAGTTCTCCAGGAAAATTTCTTCTTTCTCCTCTCTCCCCTACCCCTAGTTCTTGCAGTTCTAGTGACAACAGAATGAGTGAATATTTTCTTCTCTCAAATCCTTGGACCTATGTGTATTGAGAGGCCTGACCCTGGGGTTCAGCTCCAGACTGAGAATAAGGTTTTGTAGCTGTTTGGAGCAAATTCCTGACACATTGTCCTATTCTCAAACTTGTTCTGCGCCTCTGGCCCTGTCCCTACTTTCTCCCTCCTTGGGTGTAGAAGGAAGACAGAGTGGAATTTTCCAACACGATGGGGGTTGGGAGAGGGAGGGGGTGTTGGCCAGGGACAGTTACACCCAGCACCAGCAGGTTCTAAGGTGCCCCTGGGGTAGAAGGTGGAGCACTCAGCAGGTAAAGAGCTATCCCAGCTCCTTCAAGGTGCCTTTGCTTTCCTCCTTCGCCCCTTTCTTGTGAAGTCCAGGTTTTTCACTAAAGTTTTAGGTGTTCTTCTCTTTACACCAGCTTCTAGGGCCCTGCTGGCTTTTGTCTCTCATGCCCCGGGCCCCACTTACCCCTAAATGTGGAATGCTGGAGAGGATGGGCCCTCTGACCTTAAAATGTCACCCCCTTAACCACCCATCCTGTTCTGCAGGAATGACACCAAGGAGGATGTCTTTGTTCACCAGGTAAGAGTTAGGTTGGCTTTCTGAGAAGAACTGGTGCTCTCTGTGGCATTTGCCATAATCCTTAGCAGCACGCTCCATCATGGTATTCCGACTTTTACTTCTCAACAGCTTGCCCACCAGGCAAAAGCTCCCCTCCCCAACGACCTCTGATGCCAGTATCAACCACCATTAGCCCCACTTGTATTGAGTTACCGAATGTCTGTCAGAATTATGCATGATGCCCTCTGGGCTTGGCATGCTCACTACCAACTGGGACCTGTTAACACTACAGGAAGGATGCGGACAGTTTTCAGAGGGAAAAGATTCTTGGGTGCAGTGGTTCTCAAAGTGTGGTCCCTGCACCAGCAGCAGCAGCATCACCTGACACCCAAATTCTCAGGCCCCATCCCAGACCTGCTGAATCATTCAGACTTGGGGCTGGGGCCCAGCAATCTGTTAACAAGCTCTCCAGGTGATTCTGATGCACGCTGCAGTTTGAGAACCACTGCTTTTGTGGAAAGAGCTCTCAGTGGGATTGAGGTAAGAAACACAGTACATTTTACCCACTTTGCAACTTAAGACCATCTTTGCTTTTTGTTTTTCTTATGCATTTGTATTCTTGCCTCCCTTTTTGAAATGCCTGAAGGGTAAAGAGGGGAGAGAATGTGTCCTGGGGACAGTGGTAACTGCACAATCGTTCCTGAGGCCCCTAGTCTGTGACTTTTTCTCTACTCAACTTTGACCACCTTCTTGCTCCACCTTCCAGCCCCAGATCCCAAGTAAAATGTTGGAAAGACTGAAGTTGGGTGGTGGATCCAGCAGGGGTGAGAGAGACTCCCGTCTTGCTGTCTCACCTTTCTCACGGCCTTTCCCCCAATCAGACAGCTATTAAAAGAAACAACCCCAGGAAGTTTCTGCGCAGCGTTGGAGATGGGGAGACTGTGGAGTTTGATGTCGTGGAAGGAGAGAAGGTTTGGGACTGTTGTGGGGTATAGAGTTGGCCAGGCTTGTGAGAGGGTGGCCTGGAGGTCATAGCAGGCCTCCAACCTCCTGGGGCCAGCTCTGCCTCTGGCCTTGGGCTGTGGGAATGGGCCTCTGTTCTCTCACCCAGGCATTGCCTTCTTTAATGCTAGGGCAAAGGGATGTCCTAAAGAATGTGTCCCTGTCATTACATTAGTCCATAGTGTCTGGATTTCTTCTCTGTGGTTCACCAAGCACATCCATGTCTGTTCTCTGTATGGGGTCTTGTCAACAGGACTATTTTTTTTTTTTTTTGAGTTGCAGTCTCACTCTGTCACCTAGCAGGCTGGAGTACAGTGACAGGCTCATGGCCACCGCAGCCTCGATCTGCTGGGCTCAGGCGATCCTTCTGCCTCAGCCTTCCAAGTAGCTGGAACTACAGGCATGTGCCATCACGCCTGGCTAATTTTTCTTGACTTATTGTAGAAATGAGGTCTTGCCAAGTTGCCCAGGCTGGTCTCAAACCCCTGGGCTCAGGCAGTCCTCTCGCCTTTGCCTCCCAAAGTGCTGGGATTACAGGCATGAGCCACTGCCTCTGGCCAACAGAACTCTTGAGTCTACCCTCTGGAGTAAAAGATGGATGGTGACTGCCAGGCCTTTCTCCTCCCATATTCCCAGTCTTAAACTCAAGGGGGTGTGGTACTAGTTATTTCAAAAGGACAAGTTGCTCCTTTCCAGATGGGTACAAACACACTCTAGTGCCCCTTGGAGGGAAGGGTTTAAAGAAGCAGGAGTTAGAGCTTAAGGAGAGCTGGAGAGAGGAATTTCGCTGGAAGAAGGGGAAGATGCCAGTGATTCCAGCAAGTTAGGAATGTTGTATATCTGTTGTTGGAGCAGGTTCTTACTGTCCTCCTCTCTACCTTCCCAGGGTGCAGAAGCTGCTAATGTAACTGGGCCTGGAGGGGTTCCAGTGAAGGGCAGCCGCTATGCCCCCAACCGACGTAGGTTCCGCCGATTCATCCCCCGACCTCGCCCAGCTGCCCCACCACCCATGGTGGCAGAGGCTCCCTCAGGGGGTACAGAACCTGGCAGCGAAGGGGAGCGGGCTGAAGATTCTGGACAGCGGTCCAGACGACGGCGCCCACCACCTTTCTTTTACCGACGGCGGTTTGTGAGAGGCCCTCGGCTCCCCAGCCAGCAGCAGCCCACAGAGGTGAGAGGAAGCCGGAATATGGGAGTCAGTTACTCAAGTCTCAAAAAGCAGTGGGACCTGGTGAGCATAGAGACCACAGGGTCCCCAAAGGACGTGGAGCTGAGGGTTGGGAAGTGCTCAGGGCAGCTGGTGTCCCCACAGCTCACCTGGGCCTTTGTGTGTTCCCAGGGCACTAATGGGGTAGAACCCAAAGAGACAGCCCCATTGGAGGGGGACCAACAACAGGGAGATGAGCGGGTCCCCCCACCCAGATTCCGGCCCAGGTACCGAAGGTAAGACTCCCATTCTGGGGTGTGGTCTTCCCCTATCTGGTGTTGACCCCATGGGGAAGGGAGTGGGAGGCTGGGTAGAGGAAGAGTGAAGTTCTAAGAACCTGAAACTCCTGGTGAGGGAGGTGCCCAGAGGGAGGCAGCTGCTGATGGGCTGGAAGCCTGGCTCTTGGAGATGGGGTAGGGCAGCTGGGGGAATCCTGGGGAGGGAGGTGGTCTGCCCTGGATTCCCTGGTCCTTTCAGGGTTCCTCTTTTCTCCCTAGGCCTTTCCGCCCCAGGCCACCCCAGCAGCCTACCACAGAAGGTGGGGATGGCGAGACCAAGCCCAGCCAAGGTCCCACTGATGGTTCCCGGCCTGAACCCCAGCGCCCACGAAACCGCCCTTACTTCCAGCGGCGACGGCAACAGCCCCCTGGCCCCCGGCAGGCCACAGCCCCTGAGGTGAGGGCCTTAGGTTGGCTAATCTTTGGGGGTAAGACGAAGGAAAAGGCTAGGACCAGCTTCCCTCTCTCTCCTTCCTTTTCCCTTCTTACTCTATCCCTTTGTCCCTCCCATTCAACCTGCTGGGTCCACCCCTGGCAGGCACCCTCATCCTCCAGGAATCCCCAGCAGAGGCAGTCAAGCCCATGTTGCCCTCCACAGACTCCCCCTCTCAGTGCTGCCTCGAGCCACAGCACCAGCTAGTGGATGTGAACTGGGGGAACTATTTGGGGGAGGAATGGGAAGGGAAAGGGTGGGAGGAGGTTGAAGTCGGGGACTCTAAAGAACATGAGTCTCTGCTGGGCACGGTGGCTCACGCCTGTGATCCCAGCACTTTGGGAGGTGAAGGTAAGGGGATTGCCTGAACCCAGGGGTTCAAGATCAGCTTGTGCAACTTAGCAAGACCTTGTCTCTACAATAAATTTTTAAAGAAAGAAAGAACATAAGTCTCAATTGGCCACTGCTGTTCTCTCTAGACCTCAGCCCCCATCAACAGTGGAGACCCCACCACCACCATACTGGAGTGATTCCAACTCAGAGGACACCCAGCGCTACCACCTGGTGAGTGGCTGCTGCACACAGGGCGGGTGGCCAAGCAGGCAGGGGACTGGGTCGTGATGATAAGTTGCTGCTGTTCACCATTTGTCCATTTCTTTTCCTCTCCCAGGTATCTGCCAGTTTTTCCAACTGACCTGTACCCTACCCAACCCAACATCCCTCTTTCCCATAATTCATGACATCAGAACATCGGCTTTTCCCCTTTTCCTTGAGACTCAGGAGGGCCAAAGCAACAGCCTTTTGCTTTTTTTTTCCACTCCCTTATCAAGGGTTGAAGGAAGGGATCCATTCTTATTGTTCAGAGGTACCAACTCCCTCCCCTAAATCAGGCTGAGAAGGAACCAGCCAGCTTTTACCTCCTCCTGGTTGTTTTTCTTTCCCATCCCAGTTTATTTTTTGTTTCCTCTCAACCCCCTACCTCTGAAGCCATTTTATGAACTGTCATGTGCCACCTGAGCCTCCAGTAAAAACAAAAACAGGCTTTCCTGTTGTCTTGGTCTCTGCTTCTTTTCTGTTTTGAAGAATCCAGGGCTGTTAACTCACTGTTGAAGGTAGGAGGGCCTGGTCTTGCATCCTTGCTCCAGTGTCTCTGGCTGTGCTGCTCTGAACAAGTGACCTCGTCAGTGAGATCCACTGTCCCCAGCTGTAACATGGGGCTAACACCTCCCTTGCAGAGTGAATGTTTTGCAGAGTGCTGAGAGCAGTGCCCAGCACTTGCAGTGACAATTTATTGAGCATTTACTATTATTAGTAGAAGCAATGAATAGAAACATGAGTAGGTATGAGTGACAGCATCCAGAGGCTTCTAAACTCTTGAGCTGAGGGAGAAAGAGGGGTGAGGGAATGATGGATGGTGTCTGCGTCGGCCCATCCTTGAGTGCCTCCATGACAGGACACTTATCTTCAACAGTGACTTTATAGATATATCTATATATACACATTTAGTACAACAGATCTTTGGTTTCTTCTCTCGACCCCTTTTTCAAACATATACAAAATATCCAAAGGCTCTTTCCAGTCCAGTGTTTACAGACAGTCTTTCATCTCTTCTCTTTCCCTTAGTTGGTCAAAAACCTGTGGGTATAACGCCCTCCCGGGAGGGGAGAGGAAGAAAGAACTAGGGGCCCCCACTTGGAGCCTTGGGAGCAATTGGGGTAGGGCCCCAAGCCCAAAGTCTAAAGGTAGGAGCCTGCTTTCCCTTCCTCTTGCCATACGTAGGCACATACTTTCCTGTTCCCTCTTTCTGGGAAGCTGAGTCTGCAGTGAGAGGTTGAGTCCTTTGCCCTGGAAGGGTCAAGACAGAACCCCCTTAGCCCAGAGTTTGCGTGGCAAGAATTCAGTGAAAGTCCCAGATTGTGTAAGGAGTCTAGGATGGTGGAAAACTTGGTTTCTCGTCTCACATCCTGCTCTCTGCTTCAGTTTTTCCCGCTGAAATAGTCTAGGGCCTCTCCTCCTTCCAATCCCCCTTCTATAGTAAGGGGAGAAAGTATTCTGGAACTGAGTGTGGGGGTGGGGTAGAAAGGTTGGGCTGGGGGGAAGGAAGAGGAAGGGGAGAACGGCCCACCCAATGGCCACAGTCTAACCACAACACATAAATAATCCAAGAGAGTCACACGAGGGGAATGAGGGGGGTGCTCAGACCACCCTTCCCTCCAGCTTCCCAATTCTACCAGGCTGCAGGGGTTTTCTCTACCCTGGAAGTAATGGGGAAGAGAGGGTTAAAGTGCTGCAGACGAAAGGAGGGGGTCTCTTGAGGGGTGGAGAAAGCTGGCTCTCCCACCCCTGCCGTGCCCCTCAGTCATTCTCATCTGGCCCTAAGTACTCAAGTTCTGTGCTGGGTTTCACTTCCTGCTCTAACAGAGAGGGTGTCCGGCGGAAGGCGGCTGAGATCTGGTCAAACGTCCGGCCTCGGGTTTCAGGTACTCTTAAGAAGGTGAAGATGAAGAAGCCAAGCAGGAGAACCGCAAATAGAAGGAAGACGTAGGGCCCCATAGCATCCTGGGACAGGTGGAGAAAGAGGTGTTGACAGAGTGGGGTGTGGGGGGGGTGGTTTCAGGGAATACTGCAGAAAGCAGATGGCTCCATTGAGGGACAAGGGAAATGACCAGGAATGAGAATTTACACTGAAGAAAGGATTCTTGAAAGCCAACTCTCAGTTTCTGCCCTCTTCACCATCCTGCTACTGCACTCAGAGGAGATTCCTAGCCATTTATAGTGTTGATACAAAGTTTATAAATTTATTCCTGATCTAAGTTATGCTACTGGTTTGTTTCAAATACACCTCAGTTGCTATCCAGTCTCGGTCTGCTTCCTTTCCTTTGATTCTGGTGGAGCAAGTGGTCTACCAGAGTGATACAAAGACCAGTGATCTGTGCTGGGGGAGTCCCTGACTGGGAAGCAAGTGGGCTAGCTGTGAGTTGCCCCCCACCATAGCCTACAGTGTGGGAGACGGGTGGGGGACCTACCGCAATATACTGGAAACCCATGCCAATGATGAAGTTGCATGTCCAGTTGGAGAAACCAGCAACAGCCATGGCTGCAGGGCGGGGTCCTTGACTGAAAAGCTCTGCCACAATGAACCAGGGAATAGGGCCAGGGCCAATCTCAAAGAATGCCACAAAGCCGAAGATGGCCACGATGGAGACATAGCTCATGGCTGGAACCTGCTCCTAGGGGCCAAGCAGGGAGGGTGGGAAATTCAGTTCAGGCATTTCTGGATCTTCCCTTGCCCCCAACCCAGACAACTAAAATTTACCCCTCCAGCATCTTGTGAGGGGCCTGCTGCCCTGGGTTAGGGCAAGCTGTGAGTGTTTCTGAGCACTGACATTCTTCTGGCTACCTCAAGTGAATTCAAAGCAGAGGAAACATTATAGTCTCTCAGTTCTTATTATGGTTGATTCTCCCTGCTCTAAAGCTGGGTCCTTAGGAATTATTATGTCCAGGCTTGATGGGCTTTTCTTCCTGACTGTCAAGAGTTGTGCCACAATCACCTCCCAGAGCAGGCCTCACTGCAGCCTGGGTCCCTCAGCAGCACAGACCACAGTCTCAGCAGATTTTGGAGGCAACCACCCAGTCCTTGCACAGAGCTGGCCCAAGGATTAAAGGGAGTGGCCTTGGTCAGCCATAGAGCCTCTTGGGGCCATTCCCGTGGGTTGGACTGCTGGCCCCCTTCTAGTCCTCAGGTCTCACCAGCAGGAGTAGAGCCACAGTCATCAGGATGGCACAACCACACATGCCTGCCAGGCCCAGAAGATGGAGCGTCCGTCGTCCAGCCCGCTCCACCAAGAACACCTGTTGGGAGAGTCAGAGCTTGGCAGGGGGCCCTCAGGACACAGGAAGTGGGAGGGCTTGGGTGGGTGAGGGCAACCAAGAGTAGACCTCCGGGACACCCAGGGATGTGAAGCCAGTGGCGTGGGCCATTCCAGAGGCGAGGAGTTACCGAGACCAAGGTGAAGACTGTGTTGACCACACCAGCTCCTATGGTGGCATAGGCTGGCTGGCCTACTCCTGCCGTTTCAAAGATGCTGGTTGAATAATAGAAAACCTAGAGGTGAGGAGAAGAGAAGGTGATGGCAGGGACGTCCCTTCCTCCGTTCTAGCCATAGAACAAGCTGGACCTTGAGTTTTAATGGAGGGGGCTTGCTCCCTTCTCCCCTCCCCCTGGGCTGCTGCCTTCCCATGCCCTGCCTGGAGGCTGCTCCATACATACAGCATTGATGCCAGAGAGCTGCTGGCTCAGTTGCAGCACAACTGCAATGATCAGGGGCTGCCGGTGAGTACGGCTGCCCAGGAGCTGGGGCAGGGACAGTGGCCGCTCCCGCTCCAGCTTCCGCTTCTCATCCTTCAGCTCAGCTAGCGCTCCAGACACATCAGCCCAGCCCGTCAGGCGCTTCAGACCTGGGGGTGGGAAGGTCAGGCCTGAGGAGGCCTGAGAGGAGGCTAGGTGCTAGCAAGACGGGGGTGGAGGCATGGGCCTGGGCTAGACCGCAGGATGAGACCTTACTCTTTCTGGCAGGCCCCTCCAGGTTCCGAATGATGTAGAGGTAGCGTGGGCTCTCGGGGCAGAAGGGCAGCAGGGCCAGCTGCAGGAGGGCGGGTAGCACTGTGAGGCCCAGGAGCAGTGGCCATAGGGTGGCAGTGCCCAGCAGGGACTCCAAGCCCAGCACCTGTGGGAGGAGATTGGCGAGGAGGGCCGGTTACTCAGTCCTCCTCTCTCACCCTGGAGGCCCACTCCAACCCCTGCCCAGCCTCCCATGAGGCCAGGCCCAGTCACCTGGGCAATCAGAATGCCAGTGACGATGGCCAGTTGGTTGAGCGTCCCCAAGGCGCCCCGCAGGTGAGTGGGGGCAATCTCCCCCACGTACATGGGCACTAGTCCTGATGTCAGCCCTGCACAGAAGGAAGAAGAGATGGCTGAGGGCAGGCGCCCACTCCCATCCAAAAGCTCAGGCTGGTAAAGGAGAATAGAACTGGGCACTTGGCGGGGCCCTGGTGCCTATGGGTACCTGAGTAGGCGCCAATGAGGAACCGTCCAAGAATTAGCATCTCATAGGAGGCAGCAACCTTGGCCAGGCCCATGAGGGCGCCCCCCAGCACTGCTAGGGCATTGTTGACCAGCATGGCTCTTTTCCTGGTAGGCAGACAGTGGGACTGTTAGGGTTTGGGCACCCTGCTGTGGCTCCCTTCCTGTTCCCCCGCCCCTGCCCTCCAGTTCCACACCTTCCGAGCCACTGAGAGATGATGCCAATGAGGAAGGAGGAAATCATGCCGCCCACAGAAAAGATGGCAACGGAGAGAGCCCAGAGGGTGGTGAGGGTGCCTGGCGGGATGGAGCTGGGTGCCTCAGGTCCCTGCCTCCCCAGCCACGTCTCATTGTAGCTCTGTTCAATCACCTGGGGGACAGCATAGGAGTGATTCCCTGTAGACCTTTCCACCATCCCTGAGTTCCCCTGTTTGGACACCCCCGCCCTGCCAGCTGTAAGTCCCTCACCTTCTGTGGGGCATTGATAACTCCAATGTTGTAGCCAAACTGCAGGGAGCCAAGCACAGCAGAGAATACAGCAAGGACCAGGGTCGCAGTCACTCGCTGCTGAGGGGGTTCCCCATCCTGCTCAGGCAAATGCAGAAAGGGGGCATGTCATGTGGAATCATGCTTTCCTTCCTCCAGGGGCCCAGGCCCAGCTGGAACCTGAAGATACTGGGTTCCATCCAACATGTTGGGTGAGGGAAACTGGGCCATATTAGGAACTGCACAAAGATCTCAATGTAAACAGGAGCGCACAGAATCCAACAGTAACCGGAGCATGGAAGAGCAACTGGATGTTTGAGTCCATAAGACAGAGACATGTTTGAAGGCCTAAGTCTCAAAATCTCTTTGTGACCTTGGGACAGGCTTGGTCTTAAGAGCTCAGATTTGTGTGACCTTGGGTCAGTCACTTTCCCACTCAGAACCTAGGTTCCCTCTTCTGTGAGATGGAATTAGGTTGCCTGCCTTGCCTACCTCTCAGTGAGAGTGTTTTAGAAACTGACGAGTGCATTATCATCATCAAACACTGTCCTCTTCCCTCCCTCTGGGGGTCCTCTTAGACAGCTCCAGGAGGCCCCCAACAGGCCCAAGAAGTACAAGTCCAAAAAGGACATCCCGGTCATCTCCGGGGTGGCCTTCTCTATCTCTGTGGGGCCTCCCCTCCCCCTCTAGGCTCTAACCAAGGGCAGGGGGCCATGCGGGGGTTTCTGTCGGGATAGCCATGCCCAGGGGAGGAGGGCGGGAAGGCGGTGTGAGGGGCGGTGGCAGTGGTGGCCGCTCGCTGGCGGCACAGACTGTCTCCAAGCGGAAACCTAAGCTGGGGGGGGCTGACACTCCCCTCTGCCCCTCCACCAACAGCGGGGCCAAGGGAAAGTTCAGCGTCCTGGAGGGCGGCCAGGAGTGGGGGTGGGGCCCGCAGAGAGCCTCCGGTCCTCGAAACACTGTCCGCGAGCCGGGACAGATGGATAGCTCCTGGAGGGCAAGAGCCGCCCGGATCTGCCGTCCCCAGTAGGATTGAGGGCAGTGTGTCTCCAACTCCGGCACAACCCGCCGCGTACTAGGGAAGGGGTGAACACCAGACGCAGTTGCCGCCTGTGTCCCCGAAAGGTCCCCTAGACTCACTCTACCTCTTGGTAGGATTGGAATCCGACAGTCACGGGTTGTCCAGACAGGGTATAAATAGCCAGCCCCCCACCTCCATCCCCTGCGCCTGCGCAGGAACCGCCCCCAGCTGACCCCAGCAGCGACCCCAGCCCAGGAAAAGCGGGACCCGTGCCCTCGCCCCGCCCCTGCATGCTGAATCCTACTTCAGAGCCGATTTGTTGGAAGCCCGACGGCATCTTGTAGAAGGGCTGGAGGACAGGGGCTGCGAGGAGGAGAGAGGCGCCTGCGGGATCTGTGGCCCCGGCCTGGCGAGCAGGGGCCGCGGGGGCTGGGGGGATCCCGAAGCGGTGTGCGAGGGCGGACCTGGTGGAACCCACAGCCACAAGCCAAGGAGCCAGAGAGCAGCGGGGCTCCCGGGGATCCGGCGGAGCCTAGCTGGGGGAAGAGACGCGAGGAGCCCCCGCCGCCTCAGCCGCACCCCCGCGGGCCACGCCTGTCACAACACCCATTGGCCAGGAGCCCGCACACCCCAGAAGGCCACGCCCCCTCCCTAAGCCTGGGGTTTAGAGTTTGGCTCGAGTTAGTGGGCTGGCCAGCAAAGCCACGCCCCTCGGCGTGCCGGGCGGGACACGCCCCTCGGGTTCCCGCCAGCGACCGACTGGGGAGTTTTGAGAAAAGAGTCCTTGGAACAAAAGGCCCCGCCCACCCACGTGTTAGGACTCCGCCCACCACCCGAGAGTCCAGGTTGCAGAAGTGTCTTAAAAGTTTGGCGCCACGGGTCTGGACAATGGGGTCCGAGAGGAGGGGATGGGCCGGTATACTTGCCCGGGGGGAGACTCCGGCAGCCTGAGACAGCCCACGACCTGGGCTGGGAGAGGAGGAATGCCCCGAAGTAACCCGGAGCGGCTATTTTTAGTTCCCACGTTCGGAGCCGCCAAATGTCAGGTCCCGGGTGTCCCGGCCTGTCTCAGGCGGGGGAGGGCTGAGAGATGGAGCCTTAAAGGGTCCGCGACTCGCATCCCACGCGGGGATGGCCCAAGGCCAGGGAATTCCGTTCTAGCGGGTCCAGTGGCCAGGCTCCGTGGTCCTATCTTCCAGTGCGTCTCTGCTCCAGGCACTGCCTAGCCCGCCCTTCCCCTGCACACATTCCCCACATTGGTTCCTGGAGGCAGCCCGAGGGACAGGTGGTCACACCACACCATCAGCCCTAAAGCCTCTGAGCCACCAGCATGTGCTGACCGCGTGGACGGCACGCTCTCTGGAGACTGCTCCGGGTTCGGCTCTTCAGCTAAATCCTGCCCAGCGGAGAGGGCACGACCTAAGGTCGGTGTGTCCAGAGAGGGAGAAGTGGAATACCCAGAGTCTAGATAGCGCGTGGCTCAGACAACGGGTCTCAGTAGTGCGGGGCTATAGCGCCACCTGGAGGTAGAGCGAGGAGCCGCAGCGGATTGGAGCCGGGTAGTTTCGACCCCCGTCCCTTACCCTTCTACCTGCTTAAGGCTTCAGTGACATCCAACTCAGGACTCTCTAGAGCTCCAGATCCAGGTGTCCAGTTACCATCTAGATGGGGCAACTCACGTGATCAGCATGTCCAAACCTGCTCCTCTTCCTAACTTCCTTGTCCCAGTGAATGACCCAGCCAGTCACCCCTGTACTGGAAATCGCACTCGATTCCTCTTGTCTTGCATCACCACTCCTCCTTTACCTAGTTAGACCCCTGGTGTTTTGACCTCCTAAACGCTCTCGTATTCATCCTACTTTATCCACCTGTGCTGCTGCCATATTAGTCCAGACCACCATCAACTTGATTAACTTTTCCCTTATAAGGAGGGCAGAGTACAATTTTCTTTTTTCTTTTTTTTTAAGTTGGAGCCTCACTCTGTCGCCCAGACTGGAGTGCAGCGGCCGCTCTCGGCCACCGCAGCCTCGACCTGCTGGGCTCCGGCGATCCTTCCGCCTCAGCCTTCCAAGTAGCTGGAACTACAGGCGCGCGCTACCACGCCCGGCTAATTTTTGATTTATTGTAGAGAGGAGGTCTCGCCAAGTTGCCCAGGCGGGTCTCGAACCCGTGGGCTCAGGCATTCCACTCACCTCGGCCTCCCAAAGGCGCGGGATTACAGGCTGAGCCACCAAGCCCGGCTAGAGTACAATTTTCAAAGGTCAAATCTTATCACTCTCACCCAAGACTTCAGTGGCTCTTTGTTGCCCCTCCCATCACGTTCAAACCCCCTTTCAGAGTGAAAAGATCCTTCTGCCTTTCCTGTCACTCCTGCCTCACAGTCTAGCCTTTTTCCTCATGTTCTCAGCCATGCCTAAGTACTTCACTGTGTTGTGTCATCCCTTCTTGGTGTCTTTGCTGCCCAATCCTCCCCACAGTAGGGAATGTGAAAGGACTTCTATTTATCCTTAACTCCCACCCCCATTCCCACTCTTATTCTACAGATCTGCTTTGCTTCCAGTTCTGGAGAGCGATCTTGACCCTTGAGCTCCAGCAATACTATGGACTCCCTTTGTCCCTTCCCTATATTTTGTTTATATATTTGGGTCTCAGGTGCAGAAGACTGAATTAATGACAGTTCTTGGCACATTGTCCTCATTGATCTATGTCTTATTTTATTTTCCAAATTAATTATTTCCATACCCACTTCTCATTTTTCTTCCTTCAAGAGGAAACCGTTCCAGTGCATTTAATGCTCATTTTTTTCACTGTGCTCTTGCAAAATAGGAATCATTTTGTATGCAAACATTTTAAATTTATGTAAATAATATCTTGTTATATATTTCATTCTGATCTTATTTATTTTTGGTAAGCACTGTTTTTAAAATCTACCAGTGTTCTATAATAATCAAACCTATTGCTGCGTGATATTCCACACTATGAGTTGCACCATATTTTACCTGCTCACAATTCAGCTGATAAGAACACATGTTGCTGGGCATGGGGGCTGCTGCTTGTCATTCCAGCACTTTGGGGGGAGGAGGTGAGAGGATTGCCTGAGTCCAAGGATTTGAGACCAGCCTGGTCAGATTGGCAAGACCTTGTCTCCGCAATAAATCACAAAAATTAGCCGGGCATGGTGGTGTGTATCTGTGGGTCCAGCTACTTGGTAAGCTGAGGTAGAAGGATCGCCTGAGCCCATCAAGTCAAGGCTACGGTGACCATGAGTGTGCCACTGCACTCCAACCTGGGCGACAAAGTGTGAGACTCCAACTCAAAAAACAAAATCAACAAACAACAAACAAACAAAAAAAGAGCACGCATCACCTCTAATTCCCAGCCACAATTAATAATATGGAAACGAACCTTTTTTTTTTTTTTTTTTTTCTGTTGCCCAGTCTGGAGTGCAGTAGCACCATCACAGCTGTTGCAGCCTTGACCTAGTCCCAGGTGATCCTTCCGTCACAACCTTCCAAGTAGCTAGGACTACAGGTGTGTACCACCACACCCAGTTACTTTCTGTTTTTTTTTTTGTTGTTGTTGTTTTTTGAGTTGGAATCTCACTCTATCACCCAGGCTGGAGTGCAGTGGCATGCTCACGGTCACTGCAGCCTCAACCTGCTGGGCTCAGGTGATCTTTCTGCCTCAACCTTCCAAGTAGCTGGAACTACAGGAATGCACCACCATGCCCGGCTAATTTTTTGATTTATCATAGAGGCAAGGTCTTGCCAAGTTGCCCAGTCTGGTCTAGAACCCCTGGGCTCAGGCAATCCTCTCACCTTGCCTCCCAAGGTGCTGGGATTATGGGTGTGAGCCACCGTGCCCAGTCTGACTACTTTTAAAATTTATTTTGTAGAAATGATGTCTTGCCATGTTGCCCAGGCTGATCTCAAACTAACTCCCTGGCTCAGGCAATCCTCTCACCTAAGCCTTCCAAAGTGTTGTGATTATAGACATGAACCACTGCACCTGCTGGCAACGAACATTTTCACACAAAGTACCTTATAAACTCCTATAAGAGCTTCTTTGGAAGATATGCCTATGCATATGTCTATGACTATGTCTATATTTATATCTCTCCTCAGGAACAGAATTGCTGAATCATAGGGTGTTCTTATACCTAATTTGACTAAGTACTGCCAGCTTGCTCTTCAGAATGGCTTCCCATTCTACTCCCATCAACCATGCTGGATGGTTCTCCCCTCACTGTATCCTCTCAGTCAGCATCCACCTAGAGGAAGCATACGAAGAGTATGGACTGTGGTCCCAAACTGCCTGAGTGTGAGTCCCAGCTCTGTTACTAACTTTGTGCCCTTTGAGAAGTTACCTAAGTTCTTTGTGCCATATTTACCTCATCTGTAAAATGAGAAGGGAGATAATAATAGTATCTCCAACTAAGGGTTTTAATGGTGAATAATGTAATATTCACATGTATTTGGCATAGATTGAACTGCATACCATTTTTTGTTTTTGTTTGTAAACATCTTTATCAAGGTATAACTGACATACAATAAACAGCATACATTTAAAGTATACAATTTGCCTGGGAATAGAGGGCCACCAGGTTGCCTGAAGAGGGGTGAACTACCCCAGGTCAGAAATGGAGCAGGTCAAAATTCCCGTGCTGATCAGTAGTGGAATTGTGTCTGTGAATAGCCACTGCATTCCAGTCTGGGCACCATAGTGAGACCCTGTCTCTAAATAAAAATAAAAGATAAGGTGTATAATTTGATGTGTTGACATATGTATACATTTATGAAACCATCCTTACAATCAAGATAATGAACATATCCATCATCCCCCAAAGATTCCTTGTATCCCTTCATTACCCCTTCCTCTAGTCCTTTCCCCTACCCCCAGGCAAGCACTGATCTGCTGTCATTATAGACTAGTTTGCATTTTCTAGAATTCTATGTAAGGGAAATAATACAAAACGGGCTCTACTTTCCAAAGTGGTTGTACCATTTTACATTGCCCTCAGCACTGCGTGAGAGTTCCAGTTTCTCCATACCTTCACCAACAGTCTTTTACATTTTAGCAAGAATGGACCATATGAGATTTTAATCAAATAAATGAGAAACTGTTCAGATTTCTAATACTGGCTAGTATGATAGGTGAGAGGTTATACTGTACTGCAGTTTAGTCTGATTACTCATGGCTTGGAGTGGGCCTTCAAACACTTGTCAGCACTTTGGCTTTTCTTCTGAAAATTTCCTCTCTCTCTCTCTCTCTCTCTCTCTCTCTCTCTCTTTCTGTCAGAGATGGGTCTTACTATGCTACAGAGGCTGGACTTGAACTCCTGGGCAACTGGGACTACAGGCATGCGCCACTGCACCCAACAATTTTCTCTTTATATTCTTTTTTTTTTGAGTTGGAGTCTCACTCCATCACCCAGACTGGAGTGCAGTGGCTGCTCCCAGCCACAGCAGCCTCAACATGCTGGGCTCCAGCGATCCTTCCATTTCAGCCTTCCAAGTAGCTGGAACTACAGGCGCGCGCTACCACACCCGGCTAATTTTTTGATTTATTGTAGAGATGAGGTCTCACCAAGTTGCCCAAGCG